TATAACCCCCGCCCCTGGAACTCTCATAGGGTGGCGTTGTTTCGACAGCTAGCCTGTTCCTATACATTATATTAAATTCGTTTAGCTTCACACCGATTAATAATCTTTAATTTAATTTAGTTGATAGAGGATTCTCATTTTGGTGCCGATCGTCTTATGTCAAAGCTCATTGAAGATATTCCAAGTGTTGCCATGAATATCTTTGACCAGTGTGTTTATGAGGAGACTAGTCTGGAAAATCGGTCGTACGCAGAAATGGTGGAAAAAACGAACGACACATATAACTTTTTCCCCTTCAAACCAAAAGACCCAACTAAGAGTAAGTAAAATATTACACACTTCCTGAAACCACGTCACCTTGGTTATAGAGCCTCGTTTTCGTGTTAGGTTTCAACTAATGTCACGTACACAAAAAACAACCTCGTGCACGAAAACGAGGTTCTATAGTCGATGTTACACACATTCCGAGAGGATGTGTTGAATTCAGGTTGAAAAGAAATTACTACCTATTATATTTTCCTTCCAAGTTTTTAATAATTAGGTCTTCCTTTTTACGTGGATTAGTTAGTTGTTGTGACTGCCTTGATTCACAGGAACGGTGATTCCTAACCAGTACGTTAACACGCATTGCGTGGACACATGCGGAGAAATTTGATTGGCTGTTTAATTTAAAACTTTGGACACAAGATTCTTCAGACATTCCTGAAAAAATAACCTACCATGTTCATAAGCCTTTTCGTAATGTCGACCGTGCATCAGAAAGACGTATTCGAATTTCGAGTCGGGATAAGACTAATTCCGATTCATAACATCACCTTAAGGGGGCTCCCTACAGTAGCATGCGGGATAACCGTGCGACGCGTGGCAAGTACGTGGACTATCACACGAAAACTCCACGATCAAAACAATACAATAATTGGCAGAGATTTTTAATCATGCTGATTCTGAAAGATTTGTAATGAAAAAACATTTGTGAATAATTTTTCGTTTCGGGTATCAAATCAATTTTGACATTGAAGAACAGTTTTATATATGCAGCATTTTAGAGAAAACTGTTTTGACAGTCATGCACAGCGATGCATACTCGAGGAGATTCAGATTTTGAGTTATCCTCTACCTCTACTATCCAAGCTCGTGGTTGGTTGATTATAACAATCAAAGACAATAATACTATAGAAATCGTCTTTCTATAAAGAACGAGTCACAAACAATGATAATTTTTGTTTCTGATTTGTTTCTGAAAGCCAATCACAAAACATGATCATTTCAGGTAGGTGTTTACCCCAAATCTGACATCCACTGCCGCTACTGATACGTCTCCTGATTCAGTAACATCTGATTGGTTAATCGGGTAGATCTAACGCGTCTGACTGTTATAACTGGTAATTCATGCATGGTCTCTTAATAAAGGACTATTCTAAATGGTTCATGGTCCATTAATAAATAGCTGTTCTAAATGGTTCATGTTCCCTAAAAGGGTCCCATAAACCATCACAAAATATCTTTCTCTTGTCAATGTCTTTAACGAGACTTTTGTTAGCAAAACTGTAGTGGTTTCTGCATTGTAAGACAGAGAAGCGGCTTTCTTATGTAACACTATTATTTATGCATTTGTCAGATTATAATACATTTTACTTTTTAATCAATTAATAATTTGTGTGATTTGCAAGCACTTTTTAAGGACTTTTAACAGATTTTGTATTTTCAAGGAGTTTTAAAATCCCGTTAAAAAATTCGAAAAATTTAAGCACTTTTTAAGGAGTTCAAAGACCTGCACGGACCCTGTGATACTGAATCCAAATTTTATTCCCAATTGAATTATCAATCCAGAGTGAGAACCAGAATGAATGAACTACATTTCTTTTGGGATTTATGTAAACATGCAAGCAAAAGAAATGTTTTTAGAAACGAGTTCATTCCGAAATGAAACTCAGTCTGGATATGATGAATGTGATTACCTCTTTAGTTGTGTAGCATGTTGGGTGGTTCAGCTACTTTGGATTTCTTCGTAGGTGCTGGGAAACTTGAAGCAATGGAAAACATGGTGAAGTACAAGCGCGACGAGTGTCTGGGTCATCCTCTTGTCCGTATGTTCATCAACAAGAAACTGGGTTCCCCTAGAGTAGCTAAATTATTCATATTAAATACCACCTTCTACACCGCATTCCTGATGTCTTTGACAATATATGTTGGACTGCAAACTGGAGGTAAAAAGTACAAATTAAAAATGCGTCTACAAAGCTGTGGGCTCTAAAGCATAGAAAATGTAAGAGAGTAATTAAAGGCCTTTTCTTATGTGAAAATTTATCCCGGCTAGCAAAGAAGTGTTTCTGTTCATATGGAGAAACGTGACATAGCACTGTTGTGACGCGCAAGGATTTCCGAGATTTCGCCTGTCAACAAGCGAGATCTCGGTACACGGACAATCTTTTCGTCTCATATGAACGCAATGTAACTTTTCATCAATTATTTTCATAACAAGGCGAGATCTCGCCTGCAAACTTGTCGAAATGTTTTCTCGCTAACCGGGATAACTTTTCCCCATATAAAAAGGCCCTAATTTTTACACCTCGGGTACTAATTGTAACATGTGGACAGGGCCGGTAGCGAAGAGGTTAAAGCAGGGGGTGTATAGTATCGCATTTGCCGACAACATTTTAGCCGCTAATTAATATTTCTTTTCCCAAAATTTTTGGCGAGGGAGGATTTTCCGGACATTCCATTCTTCCCTAACTTTCTGAATTATGTACCGTAATTTGCTAAATTTTTCCCTAATATTTCGTAAAATTATCAAAATTTTTCTTATAACTATTACTTTTTAATCCGAGCAACTCAAATATTTTCGCTAACTGCGAAAACAATTTGCCGATAAATCCGTTATGTTGCAGACAAGATGCTTTCAGAGGAGTGTAACACCCCACACTCCCCTCCCTATATAGCGATGCCCTGCATGTGGATAAAAAGTGATATAACAATGGTAAGTCCAGTATGCTCAATGTTGCCTTGTTAGAAATCACCGTTTCAGAACTATTTAATTTTACTTTTATAATTAAAACTACCTTTTAAATATCATTGACTGTGTTCAATGTTACATTTAATGCTTTTTAATAATTAGTACTTGACAGAGGTACTTGATTTTAAATAGCCTATTTACACCTGTATACAAAAATACAATTAAATTAAATTTAATTATAAAACAGTTAAACTATCACTATATTTAAATGGTATTGGGATCAATTTTCTGTTTAATTAATGTATTCCATTATCTTCTGATAACCGTTGTTTAGCTGGAAGCTTTCCAGTAATAAACGAAAAAATCTTCGACCACTTGCGTTGGAAATATTCCCTGGTGGAGCAAAATAATTTAAATGATAATACACCACCAAAATTTTATAAAATCTCAATGTCCTTCAAACTATCAAAATCTTGTAAATGATCCAGAGCCATCGCGAGGGTAATTAAACCATGTGGGGGTATGACAGTCCCTCCTTGGTTTATGGACAAATGGAGGATTAATTTGTAAGTAAAAAGAGAAGGATTATTGTTAACAAATGAAGAATTTGTCCGATACGAAAATATATATAATCAAAGCATAATATTACTGTTAAATTCTATTGATGAACAAATTAGTGATGAATTTTCCGTCAGTCTGTCAAATGACTCGATTTGGTCGCATTTTTAATTGTAAATTTGAAACGAGAGAACTGTTCAAAGATTCTAAAAAAATACGATAAATTCCCTTGACAATTGATTGTTAGGAGAGACTTTTCGAGCAATCGGTCAGGAAACCTTTAAATAACTTATTTCGGCATGTAAGATACAAAAAGATCTGAAACCGTGTCAAGGTGATTTCAAAAACAATGATGGAAAAGACCATAACTTACTGTTTTGACATTTACAATAGTTCTGATAATTTTCTTTATTTCAGGATCCTACAGTTTGTACTCACCTGGGCTTTCTGGATTATCCGTTATAGTCCTGATTTTTTGTACAATTAACGTCATTAAAGAAATTATCCAGGTTTGTATATTTATTGTATTTTCGCAGACGTTGCGGTGAACAGTGCAAGGATATTCGCCGAAACGCGAAGGGTTGAATAATATCACCGAGGTGAACAATTATTTTAGCCTATATATCACGTACAACAAAAACATACAAAAAAACGAAACGAAACACCATTTACACGCTTTTAGTAATTTTATTAATTAGAAATAGCTTTAAAGAATACCTCTACACACTGTTAATTATTAAACAAAAGTACAAAAATTTGCTCGTCTTTAACTGGAACGAAACGGGTAGCAATGTTTTATTCAGAAATGCTTTGCCAATAAATGTGGAAATAGGCTTAAACACGAAAACGAGGCTAGGAGCCAAAAGCGGCCATGGCACCTTAGCCTCGTTTTCGTGTTTAATTTTATTTTCATATTTAATAGTCAAAATCCAAAATTCTTTTTTATGCATGTGTTGACGAAGGATGTTCTGCTTCTTTGACCATAGCGCGTGAGAAACTTCAAATTTACTCCATTTAAGGTGATCTTAAGTTGAAAAAAGTGTAGTTGTGACGTATTTACCGGAAGGTCTATTAATATGAATAATAACGAGGGTTAAAAGTGGGATCGAGGGAAACAGGGCATGAATACCTATGAGGTATCACCCTTTGCTTATTAATCACTGACGTCGATCTAGTGGGGTATCACTACTAGCGTTGCAAAAAGTAGAACGTAACACGACTTCGTTCAACGCTTGTTGCAATAATGTTGCAATACTGGTGCGACTTGATGATTGCAAGCAGGGTGCTGTGAAACACGTTATGACTTACTCCTATGTTTTAGAGGGCCTTGTTGCAACATATTCAATACAATACGCAATGTATGGTGCAAGTTGTGTCACAACATAACTTGCGACACAAGTCAGCACGAAAACTTGCGTAGTGTAACAATGCCTTTTACCATGAAATCGCGTTTGTTTTGGTGCTTTAGGCAGCCATCGATTGGACGAAGTATATCAATAACAAAAACAATCTCATCGAGTGGGTGATATACATTTGTACCATGATTTACGTCGTACAAACAGGAGAGCAAAAAAGCACCTTACAGGTGGCAACAGGAGCCATTGCAGTGTTTTTTAGCTGGATTAACCTCCTGTGGTTCCTGAAAATGTCTTCCTCATTTGGGATTTACATTATCATGGCAATGAAAGTCTTTACCTCTGTTTGCAAAGTAAGTTTCATATCAAACAATTGCAAGTGCCATTGTTTGCTATTTTCATTGAATGTAGATGTTTTTCAATAAAAACATAACAAGCATTCTAAATAGAATATGATGTGATGGAAGCTTCCTGTCAGAATATTATTTTAATAATTTTATAATCAGAAATGAGCAATCCAATACAAAAATGCAGAAAATAAATTAACGAATAAAATAATAGATAAAGGAATAAATAAGTTAGTGATTAAAACTATATTAATAGTTGGATTATTTCTATAGCGTACGTACAATGGCGTACAAATCTTTTCCCCAAGGTGAAAAATTGTTAAATTCCTCCAACATCCCTCCCCCAAAAGAAAGGTACAGTATAATTTCGACGTGTCACTGATTCAAATTTAACACATCCACGAATATTCCAACAAAATTTACTAGAAATCTTCATAGTAGGAAGGGCGGTCGCTCGGATACAACCTTGCTCTCAAAATGTACGCCAATGATTCTCTCTAAAGGCCTAATTCAACGACGAGCGAAATGTGAAAATTTCGCGCGAAAAGTTGAACGCATGCGCAACATGATTTTGGAGTGTTTCTCTGTGAAATATCTCTCTTCGCCAGGTACGTAGTTGAATTCGTTTCTACTCCGCTGCGAAATGGATATAGCGAAGCCAATCAAATGCTTGCGTTTTGGCGAATTTTTTCTCTACTGTGGAAATCACTACGAGAGAAAGTTTTCACACAAGTGTGTTTTCGCGCGAAATTTTTCGCATTTCGCTCGTCGCGGAATTAGGCCTTAATAAAATTAACTCGGGCATAATTTGTATTGTCTACAGGTGTTGCCCATGGTCACTTTATTCATCATTGCATTTGCAATGGCATTTCTCATGCTGTCCCAAGATGAAGGCTTCACAACCATTCCAATATCATTTCTAACGACCTTCGTTATGATGACTGGTGAGATGGATTTCCGAGATACTTTCTTGGGGAATGGTACCAGTGCTTTTACCATTCTACAAAAACTGTTCCTCATGCTATTTTTGCTTCTCATAACCATCGCCATAATGAACCTTTTCACTGGTTTGGCTGTTGGTGATACAGCTGAGATAATGAAACGAGCAAATCAAGAACGACGGTTGTATAAAGTAAGTTGTAGCCACCATACTACGTACATAAACCGAATGTCAGCCCTTACGTAGTTTATTGTTATTTATTTATTTAAAACTTTATTCAATGTCGCTAGCCCCATCAGGAAAATCTGGTTTCAATGGGGGGGGGGGATTCCGGACTATACATACGTTAATAAAAGAAACAATCATTAATAATTACACAAACACGTAACTACAGTCTACAATAACAAATTACATACATAATTATTATCATAGCCCGCGTGCAGGCCTAGGTAAGAATAGTGGGCCTGCAAGCAAGATCCTGTATTTTGTAAAACCCTTTTCATAACACACCCCATTCGCGCGTCAATTGTCAAAAAAGAACCAATGACAGCAAACCAACTCGCATTAAAATGCTGCGGGGTTTTCTCTGCTTATTCAGAATAGAAACAATGTGTAAATGTGATAAAAAAGTAGTAATAAATAATAAATAAATAAAAAATGATGAAGCCTGTTCAACATCAATGAAGCATCGATGAATGCATCGATGAAGCCTGTCCAACATAAGCCGGAAGTACATTACAGATTTTATTGTTGTTTCTGAGATCATATGCTTTTTGCATATCACTTCTCCAAATAAAAATTTGTTTCAATTTGGGAGCATTGTGTAAACTATGTTATCTTTATTGTTTACTGTTTACCGAGTTTCTTTCTCGTTGGTGAGCCGATTGGCCAACAGCCTACCACCCATTTGATAGGGAATCCGAAGACACCCGAAATAACGTCATTATCGGAGAAGGCACCTAAATCATTTATATCAAAACCTTGAGTAGAGGTCTGAACAAGGATTTGAACCTAGGGCTCCCGATTGAAAGGCGAGAGTGGTGCGTTTCCACAACTGCGTTTGCATTGGTGACACCAATCTTAGCGGTAATTACATTTAGTGGTTAGGATTATTTTCGTTACCCTGAGGGACCGATCCATTACGGAAAAGTAACGACCAACGGTCAAACCGCCTCAGCAAATCAGAACACGACATTATAGCCAGTGCTTGCCATATAAAACGTACAGAACAAAATGGAAAACTGTTTACGAGTTGTCTAAGTTAAATGTACAGGGCTATAACCGCTGAAAAATAATTAAATTACTGTCCATTTTCGTGGGAGGGAGGGTTTTGGGATTAGTTAAAGTTCTCTGTAACAAGATTTTTGAAAGTTTTGAATTTTGTACTAATTTGATTTAGTACTTTTTGAAGCTAAACATGATTCTCCAATACAAATTGTGGTGTCACTTATCCGAATATTATAATATGAATATTATATAATAACATGTATAATAGAATTTCCATTAAATGCATTATACTCAGAGAGCAATGAAAAACATTATTTATATTGTTCTATAGGCAAACCTTGTCCTCACTTTAGAACAGACTGCCTACAGATTCCCTTCTCTGTTTCCTTCATTTGATAAGGAGACCTGGACAGACACGGGCAGTAAAATTGAAGGATGGTCACTGCTGTTGAGCATTTTAAAAGAGACCTACGCAATGAGTGAAACATGTGATGAAACAGACGAAGTTGACTTGGAGAAAGTAGATCAGCAACTGAAGAAAGTAAATGCAATGATAGAAAATCAAAACAAAGATCGTGAACGTCAGTTCACAACGCAAGAACAGCAAATTATCACTGAAGTTAACAAAGCAAGAGTTAAATGTTTCTCAGAATTCAGCAGGGTAGCAGAGAGGGTAGAACAGCAAATAGAGAACCTTCTCAACATCTGGGAAACAAAAGAAGAAAGTATTCAAGAGCAACTTCAACAGTGGGAAATGAAAGAAGATTTTAAATTTCAATATCTTTCAGATCGGGTGAGTGAAGCCAGAGAAAAGAAGATGCAAAAGCAGCTCAAGAAGATACAAAACATGTTAGAACTAGTGGAAAGCAACGTTGTGTCTGTTGTCAGTGAAATGAAGTATTCGAAGAAGTAACATGGAATTTATTGCCCACGTTAGCAGACCTCTTTACAAAATGCTTCAAAAATGTTGCGATATGTTATAATTCACCTTTTCCTACAGATAAACGTTGGACTTATTAAGATATTTTTAGCTAGTCATAATACTATGCATACATGCAACTTAATTGATAATTTTTAGCAGTCTTCAAAAACTAGTATGATAATCATCTGATTATATCTTTGCAGAATTTACTGATCTCGATTTTTGGCACGCTAGAGGAAGGCCTTTTTCTCACGTCTGTGTACAGAGCAACATTCTTTTGCTAAATGCCCATTGGCTATGTAATCGTGTTATCCACGACATATTGCCTTTTAATTATTCTTCACTTTTGCAAATACCGTAATCCAGTCGCGCCTGGTGGGTAATCTATACTGCTTTTGTACGGTTGCCCCTGAGTTGGATGTCTGTACTACAATGAATTCGATGTCAATAATTTCTTCTCGGCAAACCGTGCTGTTAATAATTTCTGACTGTGTTCATAAGCATCATAAAACGCGAAACTCCCTCTCTTTGGTAAAGCCATTAGCAAATTACACAACACAGACGTGGTCTTCTTAAAATCGAAAAACAAATTAATATAATTTAAATTAAATTAAATATTTTCTAGCAAAAGATCGCAAATAAGAACAATAGCGATGATTCAATTTATCGCCAGATTCTAACTTGATTTTTCCCACCAATGTCTTATATTTCGCCTGAAAGTTAATACCTAAGACGCAAAGCATTGTGGTGTTTGCGAAATAGGAATAATGAAAATGTTGCATATACCGTTCAACTGCGTCCTTTTTTGACATATCAAATACCTTGAAGGTTAAATTTGCTAAAATCGAATCAGCCATAACTTTTTCTTTATTTAATATTTGCAAATTCCCTATGCTTAAAACTGTAATCAATACGTGTTTGTTAATGTAGGGTACAAGTAAAATCATCCAAAATTAAACAGAATGTATAATCTTTTCTTCAATATAGCCTGGTCGGAAATCAAACTATCGGTCCAGAGACACCTTAATATAGCTTTTTGCGTGAAGCATATATTTTTCGCAAATTTCCAAGTTTATAAGCTTTGTGTCAAGATATATATATATTTTGTGGGGATTTTAAACGAAACTTGATAAAATACAAAATATTTCACAACACCATTAAAATATTTCCCAAAGCATCCACAAAAAATTACAATCTCCGTGCTTATAGGGTACTAATTTCGCTCGGCTATTTACACCCGGGGAAAGAAAAGCATTAGCGAATATTAAAGGAACGATAAGTATAGGTAAAGCCCTGATCAAACGATAATGAGAAAGTTGTCACGCGACCTTGGCGTTTTATGGTCGTTTCGTCCCCTTGCCGTTTCGTCCCAAATCGTTTCGTCCCCTTGTTGTTTCGTCCCCTTCACGTTTCGTCCCCACACTAGATACCATTTTATCTATAAACTATTTTATCTCTACGTTTCTCATGAACTATATATACTTCAAACACTCATTAATAATTCATAAGCTTATTGGCAAGTCATGTCAACCATAATATGTCACGTGCAGTGGTTTTAAACCTGATAAAACACTCTTAATTAGTATTCTTATTTAAAGAATACTAATAAGGCAGTATCTATTGTAGTCGTGTCCTCATTAGTATTCTTTATATAAAGAATACTAATAGGCAGCATATCTATTGAATTTGTAGTCGTGTTTGAAGCCGTTTAATAAACTCGCAGGTCGTGTTTTATTATGTCTAAAGCCACTCGCGCTGTGCGCTCGTGTCTTTAAACACAATAAAACACTCCTGCTGGTTTATTAAACAGTACAAAAGATATATTTGTATTTGTTTCAACTTTGATCACACATAATTTTGTCATCATGCCACATGAAATAAACTCCTTGATTCTCATCACTAATTTTCAAAACGTCCAAGAGGCAATTTGTATCAAAATATTAAAAAGAGAGGCAGACATTTGATATTTTTATGTTCGGCCTTTATAAGGAAGAATGCAATACAATAAAACTTTATTTTAACACGGTAAAATCTTCAGTACATTAATTAGATAGAAAAATAATTACAACTGATTTCCAAGATTGCCGTGTGGGAGTCATTTTACAAATTATAGCAGTAGTTTAGGAATTCTTAAATAGTGGTAACGAACGAAGCATTCGTATATTTTGAGGCAGATTATTCCATAATAAGGCTCCACTATAACAAAGGCTTCGTTTTAAATAGTTAGTTTGTGGCTTGGGCAAATTTAGCTTTATTTCAGAGTTTCTTAATTAATTAAGTTGTACCCACTGCCGTGAACAGAAAAGACATTTTTTAGGTAAGATGGTGCATCACCATTGAGTATTTTAAACATAATTCCAGCCTTAATCTTTTGGCGTCGTAAACAAAGATTGTCTAGGTGCAAATTATTCAAAAGAGAACTAGCGCTTGCATCATAGTGCGACCTCGTAATGACTCTTGCTGCTCGCTTCTGTAGTTTCTGTATTTTATTACTGAGAGTTTCTCCAAAACCGTCCCAGACTGAACAGTAGTAGTCAAAATGAGGTTGTATCAAGGCTTCATACACCTGAACAGCTGTTCTCGTACTTACAAATGGTCTAATACGTTTTAATGCACCAATTACTGAAGAAATTCTTTAGTTAATTTCTCAATATGGGTTGACCAAGAAAGGTGTTTGTCGATATGTTTTCCTAAGGATTTAACAGTATCGACTTTATTGATTTCACTACCATCAAGCTTAATGGTTATACTACAGTACCTTGAGTAGCATTGATTCTCAGTCGAGATCCAATGATCGTAAACTCCGTTTTTGCAACATTTAAACTGAGCATATTTGTAATACGCCAGCTTTTAAGACGTTCTAATTCAGAGTTAATGACACTTTGGAGCTCGTCCAGAGAATCAGCTGCAAAGCTTACATTAGTATCGTCTGCAATCATTCTAGGAGTGGCGTGGTGGAGGCAATTTGACAGGTCATTAATATAGATAAGGAACACCAACGGACCCAAATTACCCCCTTGTGGGACGCCGCACGTTACTGACGTCGAACCTCATTAACTTTGCATTTTTGTGTTCTGCCAGTAAGATATGTTCGAACCATTTTAAACTATTATGGTCGATACCATAATTTTCTAATTTCTGTAAAATTATCTGAAGGTCAATAGTATCAAAGGCTTTTTTTCAGATCAATGAAAACAACCCAACTGATTATACCATTATCTATATTAGCAGACCAGCTATTTGTAGCCTCCAGCAACGCTGTTACTGTACTAGCTATGCAATGACCGAAATCCAGATTGACAGGAAGTCAACAGATTGTTGTCGCTAAAATATTTATTAAGTTGGTCGAAGATAATTTTCTCAAAAATCTTTGAAACCGTTGGAATCACAGATATAGGCCTATAATTACTCGGCACATGCAAAATATCTCTGTTAAAGAAGGTGCAACAGCAAATATCTCTGTTAAAGAAGGTGCAATCACATCTGCCGCCATTTTTAACAATTTATTTGGTGTTTTATCAAGACCAACAGATTTCTTTTCATCAATCGTTTTCGTCAATCCGTGGACTCTATCAATCATAGGAGTTTGCAGGTTGAACGTTTTATCTGTAGGTGTGAGATAGACCTCTGGATTATACTCAGAAGCAGGTATTTCAGCTGCAAGATCAACCCCAACATTTGAGAAGTAGCTATTAAACATTTCAGCCATTTTCGACAGGTGAAGTTACTAACTCTTGACGAAGGGCCTTCGCTCGAAACGTCGATTTTTAAGGTAGTAATATAACCACTCAGCACAGCAATTTTACTACTTGCTCGCCTATTTTAATTTCCGAAATTCTTTTAATTTTCGTACAGTTTCGCGAATTTAATTAATTAATTAACTGGGGTTTTTTCATATCTCCTTTATGTTTATCAAGATTTTTGGTAAAGTAAAGTCGCTTTGCTTTTTTGATTTCATTGTTGACCTGATTTCTTGCATGTCTATATTGAGACCATTTTTGTGAATCTTTAGAAGAGATAGCTCTTTTTTTTAAGAAATCACGAATAAAAATTAAATGTCTTAATTCATTGGTAATCCACGAGGGGAGGTTTTTGGTATAGTTTCAGCATTATCCTCATCCAAAGCTACGGGCCATGATAGAATATCACCTAAACTTTTAAAAGTGACTCGGCCGGTGTGATAACCTCTAGCTTAACTCAAATATTTAACCAATCGCTGTTGACTGGTGTTTTTCCCGACGACTATAAGGTCGCAATTATATCACCAATCTTTAAATCAGAAAGCAAATTAGAGTGCAATAACTATAGGCCAATTTCAGTACTTTCAGTTGTAGCTAAAGTTTTTGAAAAACTTATATCAAATCAATTGTCAACATTTCTGGAAACAAGAGGCATACTCACACAACAACAGGCAGGTTTTAGGAAGAAAAACTCAACAGAAACATCGCTTTTAAATTCTACTAACAAGTGGTTTATTAACATGGACAAAGGATATTTAACCTGGACATTAAAAAAGCTTTCGATTGTGTAAATCATGATATTCTAATTAGAAAACTAAAGTTGTATGGGTGCAGTGAAAATACTCTTTGCTGGTTTAAATCGTACTTAACAAATCGACGTCAGATGTGCAAAATTGGTCGTACTATATCTCAGGAACGTGTTATTCGCTGTGGTGTACCACAAGGCTCTACTTTGGGGCCGTTATTATTTTTACTTTACGTAAATGACCTCCCAAGTTGCCTATCTCATTCAATAGCTAGTATGTTCGCTGACGATACAAATTTAACAACATCTGGGAAGTCCATAGAAGATATACAAAACCAGTTAAATTCTGATTTAGAAAATATTCATACGTGGCTGTTAACCAACAAATTGACTCTTAACAAAGAAAAAACAGAGTATATGATAATTAGCTCTCGGCAACGGTTAGCGAAAATTGATGACGATCCGAAGATAAGTCTTGACGGTATTGATATAAAAAGAGTTAAACAAGCAAAAACATTAGGTATTGTCATCGACGAAAAATTACTATGGAAAAATCAAATTGACGAAATAACTACCAAAGTAGAGGAATTGGCATGTTAAGGAGAATGAAAGCCTATGTTCCCCAGGAAACTTTAAGGACTGTCTATAGTGCACTGATAATGCCACATTTCGACTATTGTAGCCTTGTCTGGGATAATTGAAGTAATTATCTACTAGAAAAATTACAAAAACTGCAGAACAGGGCTGCAAGAGTTATAACTGGAAAATCCTATGAAACTCGTTCAAGTGAGATTTTAAAAAACTTAGGGTGGCAACCGTTGCTAGACCGAAGAAAAGACAAAAGGGCATTATTTATGTTTAAAATAAGAAATAATGAGTTTCCCAAATGCCTGACGAGCATGTTTAACACCAGCAACAATAAAGGCTATAACCTTCGCAGTAACGAATTAGATTTTGCACTTCCAAAGCCGAATACGAATTATTTGAAAAAAAGCTTCAGTTATTCAGGTGCTGCGCTTTGGAATGATCTGCCGAAGCGCGCAAAAGATAGAGCAATATCAATTGGTCAGTTCAGGGCTATTCTCAATAACATGGAAGAACGAGCTTGTAACACGCTGGGAATTTTTGTTGGTGTTTCCGGCCAAGGAAGTGTGGCAAAAATTTCCATGACGCCATATTTAGTTGAGAGATC